AAGTGATTTTCCACTATTAGCAGCCGCCGATGCATTAACTATAAACACATTATATCGTTATTATAAATTGTTGATCACCAGGCTGTATCCATCACCTTGAAATCACTTTCCCACAAGAAAGTTTTCAATAATGATATGTTTAAAAACTTTTTATACGTGATATACAGGGCATACACAAAATTTCTGGTAAATTTTAATGACTAACACATCATGAACTCATGAACTGTTAAAAATACGACAAAACTAGTGCACTTCTATGTGTGCTCTTTTCGTGGCATGGAGAATGTTTAGATGATAATTGAGTTCATGCCATATACTTAGCTTGCCGATATCTACAGTGGCTACTATGTTGGTTATACTGAGTTTTATGTCATCAACATTCATCACTTGGGTCTTGTGAACAACTTTCACATATCCCCAGAGCAAGATAAAAAGGCTCTCTATTTCTAAAATATTTTTTGCGGATCAAAAATACTGTTTCTAGAGCGACGCATTCTGATTTTTCTCTGCGTTTATGTAGCCATTTTCTTCCAATTGGGGAATCGCCATTTCCTTTTACCGGGAAAAAGGTAAATGTTTCCCTCTGGCACCGTCTATCGACTCGCTTTTCATATGGAAAGAAAGAGATTTATTGAGTTTATCTGTCTATCAATTCCATCAATTTATTTGTATCTTCAATATTTTTAATTTAATAATAATTGAAATAGGTCAGAGACTTTATATACAGGTACAGTTAAAACAAGGCAAGGAGGTATCTGTGCTAGGTATACATTAGGTATCGCTGTTAAGCTTCTGCCCCAATTTTGAGGTAGAACAGCTCCGGAATGGGCCTTCCATCTCCTCTTTCCCTACCACCAATCTCTGAAGAGGGATTTTGGCTTGCCGTTTGTTTTGAAAGCCCCCTTGCAGCGCAGACACTATACCCTTCCAAATATCCATGCATTTTCTTAGATTCACTCGCCAGCCCATCGGTACAACAGTTCACGTCACTAGCTGTTGTGCCAGCTGGGCAGCAACTTTGTTAACACCCTGCTTGCATAAGCAGGATGTTAAAATTTTTCGGCTTGAAATTTTAATGAAATTATTGATAATTTACCTTAACTCCCCAAATGCTTTAATAAACTACTGACCGTGAGGTTAAGAACACTGAATAGTGGCAGTTCGGCCAGGATTCGAACCCAGATGAACGAACTGTCTGCATGGCTGCTTTTCTTGGTTTCCCTATGTGTAATGCAAATACGAGCAGTTTCCCTTACAAAGTTCTCATCAGAAACATTCCTCTTCTTGGATAGATAACCCTCGTGCGCTTTACCGTAATCAAATAACCTAATCCTCTTCTGATAAACCTTTAGTTAAAAAAAATTATTCATGATAATTTAGTTCCTTGTTCATTTTAACGAATTTATTTGAGATATTAAACGATTGTTTAAAGTTTTCTTTACATACATAACAATAACGATATTTCGTGAAATAACCGATTATTTTGGATCATTTTATCAGTCAAGAACTTATTTTTAAAATAGAGATGTAAAAAATGCGTACATACATATAAGATGCATGATTCTGGAAATCATCAAGGGACATGGTAAAAGAAATGACCCCGACATTAATTCCATCTAGATCTCGATTGGACTGTTTTACACCCTCCGATTATTCAGTTTTATTGGATTAAACGCATTTTTCGCTTCTATAGAAAACTCAAAAAAGGCCTTTATAACTATTGAAAGATACGATACATAACTTAGGTCGTTAAAAGTAGCTGAAAATACAATAATAATATATTTTTTAACTTCTTAGAATTCTTGAAATTCTAAGAAAAGGCAAAATTCTATTTCTGAACTTTCTCTGATTCAAGCAGCTTTCTCATTGATGTCATTCTTTATCTAAGTACGCGTATCTGGTAATATATAAAGTTTTATTCAAATAATAACACTTTGTAATGTTACATATACAATTTTTTTATTATTTATTTATTTATTGTCGTGAACGTTATTTATTGGCGTGTGTGGCGTGTACGTTCTTTCAATTTTTCTTTCAGCCTTACCAGAAAATGCAAATTAGTGAAGTTTAAATAGCGAGTGTAGCTGACATTTATAAGATTTGGATTGGGAAAGCTTGAACTTCTGTTTACGTAGCAATTTAGCAAACTCTTTCAGACTGAGGATTCATGACGTCTATCGTGTGACAGTTGGAAGTGTTTTACTAATCTGTTAATAATTAGATCTAGGCCAGAGAAAGTATCCGAACAGGAGCTAAGGATTAAGTGGCAGTTATATCTTAGTTAAACTTAAAAAAAGAGATTCATTAATTTATATCTCTCAAGCAGCTGTTGAAAATTTTTGTTGATTCTAAGATTGTAAAATCTATAATTCGTAGCAATAAATAATTAGCGGCGAGGATCATATTTGAGTGGGAGTTGAAGTTCCAGTGCAAACTTTAATCAGTTTGTTATTAAGATAATTCGTTCGAATAATATATAGTTTGTGCTAAGTATTAGATAAACTAAACATAATTTTATAAGCAAATCAAATATATATATATAAGAAATAGCTCAGCGAAATTACTTCAAAGAAATACACATTATAAATAAACTTTATTTCGAAAGGAGTAGCCATGTCAGTTTTATAAAATTTTCTTCTAAGATTTCTCGGTTTTCAATAATGTGAAATTTATCCGTTTTCACTGGAACAGTCTTATTATCCTGCTGATATAGAGCACAATGTAGAATGTTCAGTTTTATATTCTTGTTCTTTTCGGCCGTTATAAAATTAAAAACTGCAGACATATAAATTATTATAGAGCGACAGGCAAATAGTCAGAAAACATTTCTTGAATGGATTAAGTCAGATAGTGAACTGAGATTGAGGGTATTTCCTAGAAGATTTATTAGGCTGTAAAAAACTTACAAGATGAAATTTATCTCTATAATCCTCTTGAAAGCTCCATAATAAATTAATTCTGTTAATGCTCTAATACAAATTTCCAGCAAGATAATCAAGAACTCGCGCAGAAATATTCGAATAAAGCGTAAACGACCGTATTAAACGTAATTCTTTTAAACATTCCAGCTTACAAATACTTTTTTAACATTTTACGTTATTTTACAAAACGAAATGACATTCTTTCATTGTTTCTGAAGAAGATGCGTAAAGGAGAATTACCTTCCAAAAATTAACTGATTTACTTGAATTAACTTTCGTAACTTTAGCAGTCACTTTTCAGATTACACTAATCTAAGTGAAATGTTTCAAAAAATTTTCAAGACTAAATATATTTATAGAAATTGATGGCAATAACAACAATAGATCAAACTGAAAAACTAAATGAAATAAATTAGCCTTTCAAGTTACTACAATTTTGAGCAGATAACTTTCAAAATATATAATTAGTATATTTAAATTTCTGTGCAATTCATTTAGAAAAACCTACAATGAAAAAAAATCAGTGTTTGAAGAAGCAATGAAAACACCCATTGCTATACAAACAAAATTGTCCGAGATGTCATTAATTTAGGTTTTACGTTCAACTGGGAACGTACGTTTCATTTCTTTAAATGGATTTTTAATAGTGAAAGTACAATTTTCTAATTTTCTAAATTAGGAGTTTCTTTTAGGTCCATGTGACAACACAAATTTTACCAGATTTTACTAAAAGTTGTTAGCTAACTAAGCTGTAGCGTTGTGAAAATTTACATTATATGAATCACTTCTTTAACTAGATCCATGTCTTTTTTATGGATAGCCGAATGCTAAAATATGATTTTTTTAAATTTTGCTGTTAGCTTTGAAAAGTCACAAAAATGTGTCCTTCATAATTTGTTCGCGTAAGTGTTACTCAGAAAACGACATTATTTTACCCATTCTTCCGACAGTTTTAAATCTGCCTCTCCTTGCATCAGGTTTCAGTACGCCAATCAGTCTCATTTATCAGTTTTGGATCTGCTCTCTTTCTCATCAGTTTTAATCCTACATATATCCGAAGAATAAGTTGTTACATCACATTAATCATACAAGCATCTTATTATGTTATACAAAACAAATACAAATATTATACAAAATACAAAATGTTGGTCATTTAAATTCAAGATTGTTTTCACAGAAATCACACAGCCATTTCATAGTTATGTTTCAATCTAAAGAAAACGTTTTGAAAAGAAGTTAAATTCACTTATGATGTTGAATGATAGGTGGCACATTACATTCAGATTACAAAATTGATCATTTTCTTACAATGGCTATCAAGAAAACACTGCGGAAAATGGGAACTCGTAATTCGCATGTTTTCTTGGTTTAATAGTCATTTATAAAAATATTAATTTTAATTTCTTTGAATGATTTAACTTGAACAGGATTTGGTGAATGCGATGTTGATACGGAGAAAAAGGCGCAATATTATAAAAGCCATTATTTTCTGTCTACCAATGTATAATCAACAAGTTCTTTCGCTGAGCAGTCTTAGACAGCAATTTTTGACAAAAATAACTTTTAACAATAACTATTTGTTGGAACATGCAGCCGACTAAGTTTTATTCCATTTTGTATGCCTTGTGTTGTTTACTTGGTTTAAATTTTAAGCATGATATATTGCATAAGTTTTGATTTTCCGATGAGCGTGCACTATGAGATTTAAAAAAGCGATGGACAGTTACTGAGTTAACGAGCGATGGACAATTTTAATTAACGAAGAATTTTCCAAGTTTTCGGCTGTTACCCAAATGCTGCTGTAAAATACCCTGCAGCGTTACGCAATTTTTAATACTTGAGAAAGTTACAGAAATATTTCTCTAAAATTAACCAGAAATTTCTCGATTTTCCTGAAGAATGTGAAATCTTAAAAGCAGACAAAACATTGTACAAAATTACAGATCGCATTTTCTTTAAGCAAAATAATTTCGCTGCCAATAGGCTGCTATTTGTTGACAGTATCTTATAAGCTGAAGCATGTGTAAATGAATTTGTATAAATTCTTATATAACTTACATTTTATCGAATTTTTTGCAGAGACAGATGCTGAGAGTCCTGTAGGTCAGTCACCAGCAGGGCCATCTAGAAGACGAGCTGTAAGACAAACGAAGCATGAAAAGTCGTTACCATGGCCTCAAGAGCCCATGAATGACGAACCTATCAATATGATCAAAGGAGACTTTCCAAATAATCACGACGATCACGCCTATGAAAGAACTGCTGTAAGTAGGAATTTAAAGAAATTTAAGATTTAGTATTTACTTAAATTGTAGGGTTACCACTTGTTCTAGCAATGATATTTAGTCCAGTAACCCTACCAGACATGAAGTCGAGTGTACACTGAATCAGGTGCGGAGGGGGAAATCTTCGGGCAGAAGCTTTAGTTTCCTTTATCAATGACACATTTAACTCAAAAATATATAAATGTGTTTACGTTTTCTAACAGCACCGCTAACTTCAGTATCATCGAAAAAAGTTTTTCTTTTTTTTAATTCTTAAGTTTGTTTCATACAAGTGATTGAGGTTACTGAAAGCAAAAGAATAATGATTTTCGAGATCTGAAACATATTTCAGAAAAAATATTCGAAATGCTTGCTAAAAAAGAGAACTTATAGAAATTTATTTTGAACAAAAGGCAGCATGAAAAAAGTAAAAAGCAGTTCAAAACCTAATTTCATCCCTCGTTGAAAGGAACAACAAGTGGTGGTAATAATGCAAAATAAATTAAAATAATACATTTAAAATCCATCCCATATTCAACTCTGAACGAAAAATTGCATGAAGGCGCAAAAGATAAAGGTGTAAAGATCGCTAAAGTAAAAAGGAAGTAAAAAGGGCGAAAGATGGCAAGACCAAAAAGGAAAAAGAAAAAAGAAATGTACATCCTTCTCCTGCATCGCCTTCAGGGGGCTGGTGCAACGAACGAAGTAAATATATCTGTTTCTGAACCCAAAGGACACAAATTTAAGTTTATATGTGAAAAACCTTTTCTAATATACTCTATATCGCCGTAACAAGCACAATTGGCATTATTATTGCCAATTGTACTTGTTATGGCGCTTGTTATCATTTCTGCGTAATCTTTGGCTAACTTACGATTTAAATTAGTTTTAATCTGAATTCGTTTGAAATTGTCATAAATGCTGACTGGTTTGTAAGCACAAGAAGTGCCTTCTGTTAAATTGTTTTGATTTCTGAATAAAAGGGTCTTTTACACCCTTCTTAAGTTTTGTTTCATCTTAGACATAGCAATAAGTCGCTTACAGGTCTATTCAAGGATTTCCCACAAGTTACACTCAATTAAAGGTACAATCCCTACAAAGTGTATTTTTAGCAAGAAATTAGAAAATAAATAATTTTATCATTTTTCAAGCAACCTAGTCGGAGATTACACAAAATAGTCTAGTTTAGCTGGCTCAAATAATTTAAGGCAGCGTTTAACGTCGGTTAGTAAAATTAACTAAAGCCGAAATAATCTTTGGCTGAGCTGGCAATAGGGCGTATTAGGCTGGCAAATTAGGCTGCCAAAAGCGCTAACACTAAAAACATTAAAAACCTCGATTTAAATACTCAAACAACTAATTTAAATTCTGGTGAGGATTATGGAAAGCAGAAGTTATAATAAATGTTTAAATCACAGTTAATTAACATAAAATACCTTATAAACTGTCCTGCAAGCTAATCAGTTCGAAATTTGAGTGTTGTCTACAGTGTCATCATATGATCCCCCCCTTCCCCCAAAAAATAAAAGCAATAGCATAAAATAGCCGTGTGCACGATTTAGGATAATTAACCTATCATTTTACCATTGAACTATATTACTACTTCTTCTTTTCGTCAGCTCTCACCAGAATATAATTTCCTCTCCTAGCTCTGAGAATTACTTTATTCGGCATTAGCCTTTTGTTAGCCGAGTTACTCGCGTAACTGAATTAAGTTAATCCAATGCGTGAAAAGCTTTTGACTCAAGAGTTAATTTACTCTGAATTTTATTTCACTTTTTATGTTACCTGAAAGATGCAACCTGCGGAGATCAATTTGTAAACAGCGGCTTTATATTTGTTAAGTTTGAAATAAAAAGCCTTGTTTAAATCTCCTTCTGAGTTTGTTATTACTTATATAGACGCTTGGCAATCTCAGCACGGGCTATGAAGTTAACTAAGTGAATAGATCCCTATGTAGGTTTGTAGAGTTCCTCACTTCGTAATTCTAAGTTAATGTTGGAAGTGAAGAATCTAAGAACTGATAAGCAAATAATCGCTTGAGTTCGGTGACAAGAAACAACAAGATAGAAGGGTAACTAACCCTTTATTATTCCAGTAAGATTTAACAAAACTCCGCCTGGGAGTGTACAAGAAAAGCCCGCACTTGGACTTGAACTTAAAAGACTAAGAATTAAACTAAAACTAAGATTAACTAAAGAAGTATAGCCGAAGCTATCAAGGTTCAAATCGAGTTGGCCTCTTAACTTATTTGACTACGAAGCTTAGCAAGGGCCTGAGTACGGCCGAGCGTAATAACAGCTTTGAAAGAGAGAGTGGCCAAAAAGGCAGACGCGCGTAAATCAGAAACTCTGATTCTCTCCGACTCCGTAAGTAACTTCGTGGTTTAATACCGCTCCTCCTCATTAAATATTCAGCAAGATTCCAAAACTACGTTCTGGCCGGAAGTAGTAAGTTGAAGTTGAGAATATGACAGGAAAGGAACTTAACTGTTAATAAAATTAACATAATCCTTACAGGTTATTCGTTTTATGAAGCTGAGGAGTAATTCAGCAGGGAGAAATACTTGAAAATAAAGTGCGTTCTCTCCCTGAATCGCTTACGGAATTTTCGTTGAGCTGCATCATTGTGCTGACCATTGCGCCCCAAGATAACATTTAGAGAATGTCCTTCTTCTTAGCACTGCCAAGTACTTAAAAGGCAGTTAGGGAGGCTGGGTGATCTCTAGTCTGGCAATCCTATTTCGATGACGAAATATTGTTTCTAGTTTCAGAGCCAGATACGCAAACCAGGAAAAGTTTAGAAGTAGAAAATGTTTTAAAATCAAATGTTGCTTGTCTCGGATTTGAACATGGGATCTTCGGTTTACCGTGCGAATATATTAACCATTGAAGCACAAGAGCACATGGAAGAAATATTCCTTAACTCTTTACCATATCATATGAATGGAAAATAAGTATGCAAGTTTCATTTTATTCCTTGTACCTTGTTTAAGGAGCATAGTTTGTTTTTGATTCTTACTCGTAATGCGAAACACTCGTTAAACGAAAAATATTTTTCCATAGGAATCGATGAAAAATAGAATAGTACGTTCCACTCCGAAAATAAATACTCAAACAAATTTATAATAATGTAGTTTATTATTTATATTACAACCGTTTTTACAAGAAAGTTGTCTAAAGACATGTTTTTGCGAAAGCTTCAAAATTTGGAGAAAATGAGACACAGCATTATCGTTAATTAAATTTGTAGCGGGTACAGGCACTGCCATATTAGAGTGATGCCTTTCGACGTACGATACAACAGTTTCCCATGCTTTCAGCATCTTTCTTATTTCACTGAAAGACTGATGCTTTCTTGAAGATGTAATCACCCCCTCCTCTGACAAAATCTCTTCCGCAAGTCCTTATTATTGTGACACAGAACGCAGCTCCATAAGTTAGTCGGTGGTCAACTCTTGGCTATGTTCTTACACTAGTTCATCGATGCTCTTGCTGTATATGCCAAAGACACGACCAATTTTAGTACAGGCTCCACAGACACTTGCTCAAATCCCTCGGAGTTGCGTTCGATAACTCTGTTCGGGCAAAGCTTGTAGCTGAAATGCAGGCAGGCTACAGCACGTGATGTCACGATGTCTCCACATCACTCCTTCTGAGAAACATCGCTTGTTAAGAGAGTCATTTTTTACATTTAAATTTGCTCTTTATGCGAATCATTCGTTATAAGAGGTGCTTGTTAACAGGGGCTGATTGCACATACATAGTATCTTAAACTACTTCCTTATTGCATTAAAAAAATTAACTATGCTTTTTTAAAAATGGTGATTGGCAATAAATAATGTAGGGCTTGATTTAAAAATAGAACAGCCTTTAATTAAAAATAAAATATTAATTATGTTTACTAATAACCTATGCCCTATTCCAGAGTCCGTGTAATGGGTGTGTGAAGAGGGAAGCGTCAAGTACTCCAGATAATCTCTCGCCTGGCACTAAAGATGAGGACGATGAAGATGATGATGACGATTCAGATAAAATCGACATCAACAAATATGATCCAGAGAGACTTAAAGCTTTCAATGTAAGTTTAGCATAGTTTTATTAAATACTGTTAACATTAACTGAATTATGATGGTATCTCCGCTTCGATTCGGCTAAAAGAAAATTATCATTAGGTAAGATACTGATATATGTTTCGGCAAATAACTTCTAATTCAATCATATAAAGTGAAAATTTATAATTTTGTTTTCACAGTTATGGAAAATATTAATAGAAAACTGATGCTTTAACATCTTGTGATCTGCTACTGACTGGGCTCAGAGAAACGGATAAAAATTAATTTAAAATATGCCGTGATAAAATATGAAACAAAAGAATGTACGGTCATACTCTGAAACGAGATCCCTCTTATTTACATTCTGCAGTGCTTTGGCATGATGTCATAATTCTAAAACTAGCAGATGTTAATTTTGAATTTTGCGAAATGTATGAAATATGAATCGGATTGCTGATGCTATTCAAATATTTTTTACAAAGAAATTACAGGAAATGCATTACTGTTCAAATCTGAGATACGTTTCTGTGCGATAACTAATCTATCTCTAAAAAATATAACATTTGAAATACAGAGTGCGAGATTAAAGCCTGAGAGTTTTTATTGAATTTCTCACTGCAAGTTATATTCATACGTTCAGTTGCCAAACGTTAAGTGCTGGTCATATTTTACGCTAATGTTTGAAGCATAGTTCATAAATGTATTTCAAATATCAGATGAAAATATGACTTCTTAAACAATTAATTAGAGTTATCTAACTTCTTTCTCGTTTAAAATTATAAAATAATAAAATCATGCTGAAGATTGAAAAAAATTGGTTAATTATTCCTAAACATATAAAATGGATATTTAATTAGTTCTTTCTTGTATAACTCTTAAGCATCTTAATTTCTAAATAGGGGTTTCGCGACTCAAAACTAAAACGTTTTAACTAAGCTCCTTTTTCATGTATAGAAAATTCTGAAGAATCGAACTACGTAATAACCTACCAATATTACCTAGTTTGATTAATTTAAATCAGAGCTACTCTTATTAACGGCCTGTGTATTAAGAACAAAATAAGAGACGGGATTTCAAGTAGAATGTTGAAGTAAAATCATGTATTTAAATTCTTTTTACAGTATTAAATTTGCTGTCTAATGAATACTAACTGCTAGCGGGCTGCTTCTTCAATTGAGTTCTCTGAGTTAATGTTTAAATATTTGACTCAAATCAAAAGAATAATTTCCAACGGCGTTTGTTTAAGACTCGATCCTAAGAACTTGGGATCCGCAAACCAAGTTTTTTTAATAGTGAGTATTTTATACATCAATGGTGAAGAACGATCTGTTTCATCCTTTATCATGGAATTGACTGTGATATGGGAACTTGTATTCTTCACGCAAATTCCCATATTATTTGAACTGATTCCCAGGCAAGATAATAGACACTGAAAGGTCCCTTACTACCTCCAAGGATTCATCTTTAATCGGGCAGCTTTGTAAATCACCTGATCACAAGATTTGATCTCAGAAACTTCCTGGTGCACGGACGGGCTGTATATCTTTTCTGGTGCGCTTTCATTATCCGGAGCTAGCAAGATCCTTTAAATGTTTTTCCATACGTAGCATTGAGACACAAATGATTTTCCCTTGATCTTGAAACTAATTTTGATTTGATAGAATTTACACTTCGTATTAGTTCCTCTATATCCAAATTACCTTCTATACATCGTTTTTAACTACAGTATCCAAAATCTTCTCACAGACAATGATAAAAACAGATCGCTAAAATGATAATCTTTTCTTTATCATTTTTAATGCAGACGACCTTTGCTTGCATAAGTATATTAGAGTATACAAGAATTTCTTTTATTTATGTTTATGCGTGAGAAATTTAGTAAATGTGACAAATAAATATTCATGTTACTGATTCATTATCTCCTTCAGATGTTCGTTCGCTTATTCGTGGATGAGAACTTGGATAGGATGGTGCCCATTTCCCGGCAACCAAAGGACAAAATCCAAGCAATTATTGATTCCTGTGCGAGACAGTTTCCTGAATTTGGAGAACGAGCGAGGAAAAGGATTAGAACCTACCTCAAATCCTGTCGAAGGAATAAAAGAACAAGAGAAAATAACAACTGGGAAGCAGTAAGTCTTGATGTTTCTCATAAAATAATTTACTTAAATAGTTACTGTAATATAAATATGGTTAAACTTTGTGGTTAGGGGATGCAATTTAGAGTTTTTAGTAATTTCTTATGATAAAACAAAGGTCTTTTGAAGCACTTTTAGAGAACTACGTATCACTCGTAATTGTAAATCGTTCTCATTTTCTTATTAAATCTGAAGACTGATAAGCAGATCTAAAAATTAAACCGAAAAATATTTATGAAAAACAGAGATAAAAATTATATAACAAAAGAAAAAAGTTTTAAGCATGAAATTTTAGCAAAATTTAAATTGCATTTTTACTTGATGCCCGGAATTATGCTGGTAGCGGATGGTTTACTTTTATATAGTTTACCACCATTTCAACGAAGTACGTTGTACGGGATGCTCAGTATTTCAAGTGAAAATAGTATAGCTAGCATGGAGGGTTCTCAAAAGCACTCCAATGTATTTTTTCAAGTATTGTAAAAAAACTACAATTATCCTAAACCTACACTCAACAAAGAACATCCGAAATTTATATTTACAATTGCTACGATGATTCTTCTTTCAGATCCGAAAGATCTTGAGTCTTTTTACTTTTATTCAGTGTTTCTACGTCATCCCAAAAAGAACTATTTCAGTGATATTCAAGATTCAAACTCTATGGGGTTAAAGGCAAAGTGTACTTCCTCCAGTTCACAAGCCTGGAAAATGAACGTTTAGCTTATTTGCTTCAGTGTTTGCAAAGATTAGTGGCCGTAGCTCCAGGAAAAAGATGATACAATTGAATTGAATGACAAAGAAGTCTCCAACATGAGTGCACACATACTATGCGTAAAACAAATCTACTTACCTGTAAATAACATCCGACTATCTTGAAGTAACATTTGGGTTTCTTAAACTGCGGGTCGCAACCCCCAAGGGGGTCGCTGGACCTGCAGCAGGGAGTCGCCAAAAATTTTAACAGTTTTGATATTTCTTCTTATAATAATTTTACAATTACCAAATATTTTTACACAATGTATCTGAAAATAGATGAAGATAAGATAATACAGACAAAGGTTAGGTTAGGTTATTCAATTACGGCAAAGCCTTGAGGGCTATCTGCCTAAGGGGAGGGATGCCTTCGTGGAGGACTTTCTAAGGGAAACTGGCTCGTATACACGTTACACATGGGGAAAACCACGAAAACACCCATGCAGCCAGCCCGTTCGCGGGATTCGAACCTCGGACCGAAGTACCAGTGTGCAGCGACTTTACCGCTCGGCCGCTATTAGACTAATACAGACAAAGGAAAAAAAAAAAAAAAAGAAGTTTCGACGCATTCTTTCTTTAATATAAACGTTCATTTTCCTTGCTTTGCACGAGATGTTATCATTTCGTCTGTTATTTATTTAAAATTTTCATATTGTTCTATGTCTTAAAATTAGAAATTAAGGTTACGGAAAAATCTCAGTGATAAAAGGGGGGGTTGAGACTGGAAAAAAAGTTTAAGAAAATCCGACTTAGGCCATAAAATGCAAGTACATCTGAGCAAACAACAGAAAATACTCATCCAATGAATGCACAATGCACGTCTGAAACTACGGGAAAACGCTCACCCTAAATCCCTTTATAAGGTATTTCTCCCGCTTTCTTCGTGTGGTGGTCTGCGCGCTGGGCGTGTATTCCAGAGGTCCGTGGTTCGATTCCCGGCGAAGGCGTTGCTAATTTTTCATTTCGCCTGCTTCGAAATAACCTAATGTCTCTACAGTGACGCCCGAACTAAAAGGCTGTTGGATGATCATTCTACACCCCCAGGATTTGGCGATTGAGTCCCCTAAAAACACCAGTTGCCCTTTAAAAGGGGGAGTATATACGGTATTTCTCCCGTCTTCTTTACATGCCTTCGTGGTGTGGTGGTCTGCACGCTCTGCGCGTATTTCAGAGGTCCGCGGATCGATTCCCGGCGAAGGCTTGCACATTTTTCATCTTTCATGCTTCCAAAAAATCCTAATGTCTCTACAACTTATAATGTTGCTGCATCAACTAAGCGACTCATGTGGTACTATTGTTTAAATAAGCCAATTATAAAGCGCCCGAAGACACACTCGATGATGGTATAATTAAAAGAGAAGAGAGTTTGAGAGAGGACGCAGCACCGCTTTCAGAGAAGTGGGCTAATTGTGACGACTAATCGCCATGCACAAAGGAAAGAAAGATGGCCACCAACAGGACAATCCATAAGGCTGCCTTCCCTAATCAGTCCATTTTCTATCTCATTGCCACAAACCTCCTCCTGTGTAGGCACCCATTGAAAAATATCTTATTATGGGCACACAAGCAACCCAAATGCTGAACAATATTCAAAGTAGTTCTGTCCCCATGTTTTCATCACTCAGCCAAGTACTATATAGAGCTCCAGCTAGCGGTCAGAATCCAGATGTCAGTACTGACTTGCTCACTGACACAATAATTTATGACCTCCTCAATGAGTTCTGTCCGAAAAACAGAGTAAAATTCTATTAAAGAATTCTACAAATGATTATATATAGTCTGACAGTACAAATACATAGATATAGTTTGCAATTTTCTTCTTAAATTTATATATTTGACGTAGTTATTATAGCTAAATTTTAGAGTGAAAATAGCTGTCACGTTCCACTGTCTGGAGATGAGCCAGTCAACAAGTTTTGATTGATTCTGCAGTGATTACGGCTCAGCTGAAACAAAATTGCAATAAATCATCGTTGCGCGATGAATTAAAGTTTAATATCTAACTTTGTACGTAGAACAGAAGTTTAATATGTTCTGCTTTAGGATATATGTGAGATATTTGTTTACTAAAGTTAACATTTGCCTTCTGTAGATATACCGAAACTAATGTAAATAAATTTGCAGTTTTTCAATAGGTGAATAATTGCACCCTCACTTATAGTAATCAGGACATCGAACTAAATTTGAAGTAAAATAAAGGCACCTGCACAAGACGAAACTTCATAGAATCTTAAATAAGTAAATATTGCTAGTTGCATGTGGGTCAGAATATATGTTGCCAGAAAACTCGTATGATTCTTTATATATCTGAAACGATCTTATTTATTTATAAAAAGTAATAAAGTAGAACTCAATGTTTATATAACATTGGTCTGGTGATAAAAAAGCAGTAATTCGGCTGTTATTTCATGCCATGTTCATTTTACAACCTTTGGTTACATTGGCTAAAAATAGTCGCTACTTCTTTCCCAATCTGTATTTAGTTTTCTTTTGCTTTAATGCGTTTCTAATATTTAAACGAAAGGTTTTTAGTTTATTGATATTTTATCTTTACATATGTATTTATTAAAACTTTCCACTTGTAGAAATAAAAAATGTAAATGTATTGTATATTTTTCCGTAATTCTTTTTAATTTTTTGTTATAGGGGCGGAACACGCAACCTCACTTAACATCTGCCCTTGCAGAACAGATTTTAGCCAGCGCCTGTGAGAACGAGAGTCAAAACGCCAAAAGAATGCGTTTGGGATTGAAACCTATTGCCGTAAGGATGATTATGCGAAAGAAAATTTTTGCTTTAAAAATTTCTTCATAGTTTTTATAATTTACTTTAATTAATTTGTATAAATTTATTTTTTAATTAATGAGTAATTAAATCAATCTCTGCATTCAAATGATAACTCTCTTAGTTTTATTTTATTCGGTCTTGTTACGCAGAATATTTTATTTTTATGTTATGTGTTTATTTATAATCCAGTCTACAATAAAAAAAAGACATGCCTATAATTCAGACACCAAGTAAATTAGTAGAATTCACCAAAAAGAAAACCTAAAGCCTCCTAAACTATTATCTAGAAAAATGTCTAATTGAAAAAGATTGACAACATCGCTTTCTCTGCAGCTTGAGTAGATTCAAGCTGTTCAGATCTTTCCACTGATAACACATTTATAAGCATAAATATGCCTGCGCTTTTCGGACCAGTTTATTTACGAAACAGATGAATGTTAAGGAATATAAGAATAAGACAGATAAACAGTTGAAAGCTTTCTGTCATTAAATATCCTAAACCCTTTCATTAATTTTTATAAGATTTTCTGATTTCGATTTTGGAATTTTGCATTCAGTTCTAGCGCTTTTCGTTCTTAAATCTCTGGTTTAAAATATAATGCAAAAATTGTAACTAAATTCTTAAAATATATCTCATACTTCAATATTATTAGCATGCACGGAATCACTGACCCATTGGAAGGAAATTTTTTTAAAGGATTTTTCATAAAGTCCGCAGGTTTTAATTGGCGCAGAACTTTTTCGTTTAAAGACAGTCAGCACTGTTTTTATCAGTTTCGTTATCTACCATAATTCTGATTTGAGTATTTGTCATTTTATAGTTTAAATACCATGGAGAAGCTCTTTAAGGAGCAATGCGTCGTAACCGCGAAAACTAATTACAAAAACAGGAACTACGGTTCTTTAATTTCACGCAATCTTCTTGTTTGCTTTGGATTAAGTGCATACCACGAATATGCGGCTCAACGTTGGCAATTTGCTACATATACCGCGAATCAATCAAAAAGCATCCTGGGTACCTGATTTGACTTCTTGACGAAGACCAGAAATGGACTACAAGTTTTTGTGACTTCGCATCTTGAAACTACTTTTTAAAAGGTTATGTCAAATCGAATCTTTACATGCATAACCACAAATAATTCCCGAATTAAGAGAGAAATATAACGGACCATTAACGAAATTCGCAAAAACTTCTTTTAAAGGGTCATCGTGAACTTCGTGTGGAGCTTCACCAGTGAACTTCCTGCGGAAGAATTGAAGGTGGACATATGTTAGATATCGTTTTACAGTGAACAAAGTAGAGCTTATATGAAAGGAAATAAAACATAAATTTTGATTTTTATGCAGCTTTGGCTTGCATTTTAGAAACCTGAGCAATTATGTAACATTCTATTTAAAAAATACAAATCAGTTTCATGAATTTTTAAAATAAAATTAGACAAATCTTTTAAACTTTAAGACTAATTTTTTAAGCAGTTCCCATTGAAAAATTACAATAATTTCCGTTCTTTGTTATATTTCGTGAAAATGTGTCTTTTTATAAATTTATTTTTCATGCTTTTGTATCATCCTAGTCAAAGAACTAAGTCGCATATGAAAAATCAATAATTTAAAAATTAAGTTGTCATTTAATCGAAATAGCTGGCCTTCTGCTATACCTAATCTAGCCTCCCGTGCCTCCTGAAAAACGAATTTTTTATTGCGCGATCTACTGTAATAATAACTATGTTATACAATTATTTCGTTTCGAATACTAATGGGCCTCCGAAGATTTAAAAATATATAATAATGTAACATAAATATTTGCATATACAAGGTCCGCATTGTTATAATATTACCTTCTATTTAAATATTCTAACATGATCAAAATGTTTCACAATTCTTTTGTTTCGCAGGCTGAAGTGGAAAGAGGACGTTCCGAAACTCCTGTCTCTCGGAGCCCGCAGCACGAAAATATTTTGCAAACCACACTGCGACACGGCAAGTCTCAAGCATCCGCTATTTTGAACGGTTCTCCATCTTATTCTTCGGCGTACCGTATAGTGCCAAATGCCTCTACAAATGGTCATCCAAGCGCCATAACGAATTCCAGTAATGGTAAGTTCACATCTACGTTGCTTATTGTTTATTGACCATTATAATGAAAATTGTGAAACGTCTTAGTACTGTGTGTACATTTAATAAATTCATTACGAAATTACTCGATTCGCATTAAAATTTCACATTAACCACGTTCAACTAAAAATCTGAGGAAAAAAGTCGAATGTATTTTGAAAAATATTTTAGCAAATTAAAGTCAAATGCATAATTATCAGCTTTAAGTTAGTATAAAACGCAGAGTTGTTTCATACAGTCTGACAAGCAAGATATCATAATGTGATTTATATCTAGTGTAAGAAACATATATAAGCATTTACTGAGTGAAAGCAAAGCATGGACGTTTCACCTGCATATCGTAGCTAGCAAGGATGCCCAAAGCCTGCAGCATTGAACTTCGTCTAAAATTTCGTTGTTTCACCACCAAATTTCGTTGTTTTATTTCTTCACTTCGATTTATTTGGCACGTTTTCTATTCATTGGAAGCAGCTTTTAGATTTTACCTGCATAAAAATCAGCATTAAGTATTTTCCTCGAAATATTTCTACAAATACTTTCCCATACATATATATATTATTTTTTAATTTAATGTACTTAGTACTGTAGATAGTTCTTTCTTTCTGTATTGCCTATAATTTTTTAAATTGCATCTAATACCAAATTAAATCGAAAGAACCCGGCTTGTTAATATAAAAAAATGTATCTTTCTTTAAATATCTTGAAGAATTAATAAATTGTAAAGGAAGTAAGAAAAATACCACATGCATTTTCTGAATAAAAATAATGCGTGTAACATTAACCAAGAAAATGAGTGCATTACGCGTTTTTTTACATTTATTTTCACTTTATTTAAGAGCATTATATAATTTAACAAATATATTTTTCATCTGGCTTGAGTAATGCTATCGTTCACAGTTTAGACGTATGGTGATTTCCTGTTATGTTTTTACCACCAATCCTCGAATTCCATATCACAGATTATGTTCTTACTGCATTAATATAAATATTAACGAGACATAGTGCACAATAAAAATTAAGCTTTATTTAGGAACATTGCGCACACTGCCCGACAGCCTGCCTGTTTCGCTCTGCTCGCTACTCGTAAAAAACTTCTCCTCTAGGGTTGCCACACTTATCGGAGGGCGCAAGGCGCGCTCCTTATCGCCATCACCACAGACGCGCTATTAAAGTATAACAGACTGCAAGTGTACCAACAATCTAGAAGTAATGAAATAGTGCTGCCATCTCTCGCGAGTGATACTAATTAATTGTATAAATAAAAAATACTTAATCGTTTTTAAATTCTTTTGTCTAGTTTCACAAGTACTTATACGATTTTTTTTTTTTTTTTTTTTTTTTTTTTTTTTTTTTTTTTTGCATAGCCAATTTCTTTATGTAAAAAATTAATTTCAGTCTAAAATATGTTTTTATCTTTGCATTTGGTAAACTATATCTTGGCAAAACTCTCTTTTCTACTACTACTGCAGGTGTGCTCGTTTTTATTAAGAAAAGTAATTGAATTCTGGATTGATATGCTAAAAATATGCTTAACGAAATCATACTTTATATTAGATATTCATGCAGTAGCTCTTAAATGAGGAAATCTTCTAATTACAGTACATGTGAATTTAGTGCCAGAGTTTTCAAAATGTTTCGAAAAACAGTCGTACTCAATTCTGTTTCGAAAAACGGATATCAGGCTTACTTACCTGAAAAATAATCGAATAAATGTTACATAATTTCATATGATTTCAAACTTCGAATAAAATTTAATTAGAACAAGAGCCATATTTTATTACTTGATATTCATAAATAGCAAATTCATGTTCTATAAGTGCATTCATTCCCCATTCTAAATTCTTCAGTTGCGAAGTTTGATTTCTTTAATAATTTCTACATGCATAAAAAATCTGTCCGTTTTAATCTGTTGAATTCTAATCCCCACTATCTGTTATATTTATGTTAATATTACTTGATCAATAAATAAGTGACATTTCCACAGGATCACATAGCACATTGTTTATTACAAACCAACATCAATTGGCGATTACATCACTTCAGTTCAACAAGAAACTAGTGTGTTGCCACATATATGTAACATCTCCCCTCTTTTGGCAAAGTCATAGGAATCACTGCATTGCATAATTATCCTATTTGGATGGTCGATATACATTACGACCACTTCTTGTTTTATATACACAATCATGATTAATATTATTGCTATTATCTTGATGGTGAGGATCATTATGTATTTTTGGATGTTCACTACTTGTATTTTCCTCAATCTCATTACATAGATCATAATTGTCTAATGTCACTAAATTCTTCTGATTTTTAGTTTTTCTTAAATGGAATTTATTCCGTCTAATTACCCTATTATCTTTTGTTCTAATCCAATATGATCTAGAGTTGAATGCTTTTTTAAAACTATAAACGAGCTCCTATTTATTTTCCCATCTCAACATTAGCTTTTCCCCAGGAATAAATTCAGGTCTTTCCCTTGCATGCTTATCATAATAGATTTTAGCCTGTTTCTGCTTACTCCTCACCTTTTCTTATTGATGTTTTACAGTTGGTTTCAATTCTGTTTGTGTGATTGGTAACCGTGTTCTTAAATTCCTACTTAATAGCATTTGACTTGGAGATAAATTTATACCTGAAATTAGAGTATTTCTATATTACAGTAAAGCTTCATTTAATTTTTCCAATCCTGCTTTTCTAAATAAACTCTTAGCTATACCTACCAACTTTTCTGCAAATCCATTAGATTTAGGTTATCGAGGACTGCTAGTGATTATTTCAAATCCCCAATCCCTTGCGAAACTCTTTATTTTCCAACTATTAAACGTTACATTCTCATAAATTAAAGTTTTGGGTATTCCATATGTTACAAATATTGATTTCAATTTACTAGTAACTTCCACTGCACTTTTATGTTTTAGAGGAATTATGTCTACCCATTTAGTTAAGTAACAGCCTATTACTAGATAACTTTTCGCCGCATACTCACAGATATCAGTACCAACCTTTTCATAAGGTAAACTGGGAATTTCATGACAAACGAGAGGTTCTTTTACTGTTTGAGGCCTGAACCTATCACAAATTAGGCATTTAGTAATCATATTCTCAATGTCACTGTTGATTCCTGGCCAAAATAGTACTTGTCGAGCCCTAGCTTCTGATAAAATAAGATCTTGCTTCTTTAGGAACTTTATCAGCACTCAAAGGCCATCTCTTTTGCCAATATTCTTTCACTAACATTAACCCTTCATATTCTAATGTAGCTTTCTGAAATTCCCTTTTCTTACTCTCAGATATTTGAAGTTGTTTTGTTAGTGTATGAACAATCTCTGTCATATCCATGTTTTCATTTGCGTGTGTTTCAATAAAGGAACATGACAGTAAATCTGCAACATAGTACATATATTTCCCAGGCAAATATTTAAGTTTTAAGTTATATTTTAAGAGCTTAATTTTTATCCTTTGCAATCTATTTGACAACACATTAGTAATAATTTTGTTTATAATTGAAACTAATGGTTTATGATCAGTAAGAACTTCTACCTCTCTATCATAAATGTAGTATTGAAATTTATTAACAGCAAATAAAATACTAAGAAATTCTTTCTCAATCTGAGCATAGTTTTTTTTCTGCATTATTCAAACTCCTAGCCAAAAAAGCAATTGGTTGTCCATTCTGCAATAAGCAGCAACGTAACCCATCTTTATAACTATCTGCCTGTATAGTGATAGGTTTTACTGCTATCAAATATTCCTAATACAGGTGCGTTGGAAATTAATTTTTTTTAATTCCCTGAATGCTTTAGAATGTAGCTGTAACCACTGCCATTCTACTTTGCTTTTCAAAAGTTCCCTTAATATGACTGTTTTCTCTGAAAAATGTGTTACAAATTTCGTCAAATAATTACACATTCCCAAAACACGCTGTAATTCATGTTTATTCTGTGGTTCCTTTATGGAATTTACGCAGAATTCATCATCAGATTCACTATATATATCTGCGTTATCATGCTGAGAAACATTTTGGACCTATTTCAGTGTGCGTATAGTCAAAAAGGGATTTAGTTTGCCACAATTAAAGCATTTGTTTCGCATATGCCGGACATTGTCCATTAACGTGATGTCTGTTGCATTTTTTACACAAAAACGTCTCAGTATATGAAGCGTCATCACGCCATCCTCACTGCTACGGCTGCATTGGCTCCTCCTGCCTGATGTTGCTTCACTTTCCCTCTAGTTACGCTGTTAACATTGTGTTCTTTTAACGTTTGAGCACGAGCTTTGCTCAATTCAACTATTTTCCTTAAATCAATTGCTTTCTCCAAACTCAGATTATTTTCTCGCAGCATCCTCTCCTATAAACTGGCATCTTATACTCTAAGGACAATGCGATCACGTACGACAGAGTCACTCTGCTCACCAAATTCGCAAGATTTTACCAGTGTTTCCAGGTCAGTCTCGAAACAATCAAAAAGTACCCTTCTTCTTGTTTTCTCTTATTGAATAAAAATCTCCCCACCACGACATTTGTTTTAGGCGTCGTGAAAGCTTCAAACCCTTCAAGCACTTTTTCATAGTTGCCCTGATCTCCTGTTGAAAGATTGAGCGTGTTAAACACTTCAACTGCTTCCTCACCAGTGGCATTTAAAAATAAAGCAACTTTCACATCTGAATCTTTTGAGGTATTTTCTGAAGCTTTCATATAAATCTGGAATAGCTGCTTGAATCTGCGCCAGTTTTCGGCCACATTGCAGTCGAAACTCAGGCTTTGCGGTGGGCGACAAAATTCCATCTTGCGTCAGCTGAGAGGAAAAACAACCAAAGGGATTGCCTGGCAATTAGTTGTAATACTACTACATACGACTACGCCATGTTATTTATGTTAATATTACTTGATCAATAAATAAGTGACATTACTACAGGATCACATAGCACATTGTTTATTACAAACCGACATCAACTGGCGATTACTTCACTTC